CCCTGAAAATGGACGTGGGGGTGGCAAAAATGAGCAAATCCCCCACTTGGGAGCAGAAGAAAGAGCAGTGATGACCCTCCAGGTCTTTGGGCAAAGGAAGAGGCTGCAGCCTCGGGCAGGGCGAAGCGGGGCAGCAGATGCAGGGATTTCATCTGCGAGGAGTGAGGAAATGTCCTGGAGCTGTTTGATCTTATTGTATGGAGGGAAGCGGGAGTGGGCGTCCAGCCTCCCTGGAACCAAACAAACATGAATACCTCCCACAATCAGCAGCTCCTTGCGACCCACTCGCTGGCTGAGGCCCAAGGGGAAAAACGAGCTTTGGTTTCCATCCAGCCCTCAGGCACCATGGCAGACAGGAGCAGAGCGCACAGCAGACAGCTCCAGCCACAAAGCTGGGGGAGTTTGTCCATGCAGCGTGATGTGTGCGTGTGGGGAATCTCCCATCGGCAGCATGCACGGCTTTGTGCATGGCCCGTGTTGGTTTCATGCAGTCTCTGCCACTGGTGGTGCCAATAAAGAAATTAAAATGTATGTATTTGAAACACCCTGTGATGAGGCTGCTGGGTGTGAAGGGACACATGAGCCCAGTGGACAACCTTGGAGAGGTGTCCCCATGTCCCTTAGGGCACCAGGCCAGATCCGGGCATACACCTTTTCCCACTTCAATCCTTGGGTTTGAATTTGGTGCCTGGCGTCAGGGTGCTTTGGGGCTTTGCCGCATCCTGAGTGCCCCTGGCACAGCGTCTGTCCCCACCAGGAAGGGAGGGCAGCCCCAGGCTGTGTTTTGGGGAAGCTGGGAAGCAGCAAGTGATAAATATAATGCTCCCCGCTGTGCCCAACAACAGATGCACATGACTCCCCAGCACCATGCTTCCCAAAACTCACGTGGGCTCCCATAAGCCCTGTGTTCAGCCAGGGAACAGCGCTGCACTGGCATCACTGACACCCAACAGCAGGGAGGCTGCGGTGGCCATGGGGATGGGGGAAATTCTGCTTTGGCTTTGCCTTAGCACAGCGTGCCTGCGCGACTGCAGTCCCGGAGCACAGGGAGGGCCTGACCTCTGCAGGGACCCATCTCCCCACCACATCCATTGCCCCCCGGGTCCTGCAAAGGACTTCTAAGGGTTGGTGGGAAGCCAGAGAGCTGTCAGGTACGAAAGCAGCCCTCAGGCCGGAGGGGGGGGGGGCTGCAAATCAAACGTTTGCCGCGCTCAGCAGAGTGCAGCAGAGCTGCTGCGGCAGAGCAGCCGAAAAGCCGCTGCGCAGCGTGTGAACCCGGCCGCGGGTCCCCCGGGGCACCTTCGTCAGCCCCTCTTCCCCATCAAGCATACTTGAGGCTCCCCGCCTGTCACCGGGATCAAAGGCAGGCGCTGGGGGGAGGCAGGGGTGTCAGCTGGGCCACTTGTGAAGCCGACTGTGGGAGCCAAGACCTCCGACTTGAACCCGCTTCTTTTTAAACACACACACCCCCCCCCCCGGGCATCCTTACACGCTTCTAACATCTCTGCTCCAGCCTCACAGCTGCGTCTCGTTTCATCTCCAGCAAGGGAAGAGGCAGCGCCGGAGCCAGATGCGCCCCGGGAAGGCTGGAAAAGCTGCTCCCCACCCCAGGAACGCCAGGTCCCAGCCCCTGTGCTGCTGGCAGCTGGGGAGCAGCGGGTGCTGGGGGTGAAACCCGGCCCCGTTTCCATGCCGCAGCCTCCCGGCGCCAGCTGGGATGAGACACATTCCCACGGTGCCCGGTGATGCTTCAGCAGGGTCAGGGCTGTGCATGTCCTCCCGCGGCCCTCGGGTTGGTCTGAGCATCAGAGGGGAGCGGGATCTTTCCCGGACGGACAGGGATAACATTGGCCATTTTGGAGCAGGGAAGATGTGCTCAAGCAGCACCAACCACAGCACTCAGGGGGCTGCATGGGGTGAGATGACCACGTCAGGGAGAAAAAGCTCAATATTAAGGGAAGTTGGTTTAAAAATCAGCACAAGCCACCCTAAAAGCAGTTTCTGGGCTCTTGAGAGCTTTTGTACTCATGTGTGACCTGCACCAATTGCTGATTGCTGACTATTGCACTGGGGACTGTCCCCAAGGTAGAGGATGGATGCTCTGCAGGAGCAGGAAGACTGGGGGGATGATGTGTTGGGAGTGGGAGGCTTTGCCAAAGCCAGCTTGGCATCCACTGACTTTGTCCCCCACCCACAGAGCTTGATGGGGACCTCCTGAGCCTGAATCCAGGAGCTCCCTAGCAAAGTGCTCACTGGCATTGCAGGACGTCAGGGAGCCCTTGGAGGGTTTGACAGGGACCACATAGCCCTGGTGGCCTCAACCCAGCAGGGCTTTTCTCCAGGCCAGCCCCACCAGCAAGCTCTTAGGGACAAATGTCCCACAAGCCATCTACAGAGGGAGGAGCGCCACCTCCCGACGTTGGGTGTCTTCTTGTCCCCAGGATTCCAGGATGGAAAAGGAGTAAAAACCACTTTTGTGGGGTTTTCCCGCCCTGCATTGTTTTTATCAGTCAGCAACCATCACTTCAAGAGTGAACAGACCCAAGTCTGGCAATGGGTTCCAAGCTGAAGCAGTTCCTCCTGCTAGATACATGCTAAGCATCTTAAACAAGGACAGCAGCAGTTCAGGATTGCTTCCTTCTGCTTGGGGGACTAATCTGACTGAAAATTCCCTCCACTACCATCACCACCTCAAAACGCACTCACCAGCTCCCAGCCTCCAACAGAGCTCCCACCACAAGGCACAATTTGGTAAATGAGGCACTTGCACAGATTTTCATGAAGGCTGTGCATAGTTTAGCATAGGTGCTTATCCCCAACATATCCCAGTTTATCCTCATAAACCCAGTTCCCTTGGATGATTCCAGCTGGTTTGACTGAGGTGTCAGGAGCGGACAGGGCTGGCTTAGAGCTATGTACTTGCTAGCCAACTAGCACATACATGCTTTAAAACAGCTAAGGCTTACCAGCAGGCAGGAAAACCTCTCTCTTCAGAGCTGCTCATGGAACTGCAGCCTCAAGACGGACACAGGTTTGGGTGGCATGGTTTAGTGTGAGGTGTCCATGCCCATGGCAGGGGGGTTGGAACTGGATGATTTTAAGGTCCTTTCCAACCCAAACCATTCTGTGAAATTCCACTTTCCTGCTTCAGGGGAATACTAATTTTAAGGCTGCTACCTTTGAAACTCAAAGGGGAATAAAAAGAAAGAAAATCAGCGGGTGAGACCTCTCTTGTTACACTTAGCTGAAACCAGCCAGCAGGTTCATGTGTTAAAGGAGGCTGAGGGGGAGCCAGCCAGCTTGTGCAGTCATCGAGTCTGGTTTCTAGGGAAACAAGGTAAATGTTTTTCCTCCTTCTCACCACCTTTTAACTCTTGAAAGGGCTCGTACACATCCCCACAGGAAATAACCCTCTACCATCCACCTTTCCCTATTTCAGTTTGAGCAAATGGCATGAAAACAGGGGTCTGCCTCAGAGCAGCACCGCACTTTCAGTGTGTAGATCCATGGAGTTGTTGTCTCCAATTATGGTCAGTGAAGGGCACGCCAAACGCCGTTATCTAAATTTACACGAGCCCTCCGTCGGGCCATGCCCAAAGTGCCGGTGATCTCACTGCTGCGGCTGGAGGCAGACAAGCACTGGGGGCAGTCACTGCCTTTCTTGGTATAAGGCCTCAGCCCCGACACCACAACGCTTCTGTCCGGACTGATGCTGTGCATGGAGCTGGTCCCTGCACACAGGCACTGTCTCATCTGCCCTTCACCATCACACTGGGCTGGAACACCAGCCAAAGTGTCTCCCCAGTATTTTGAGCCATGCCGGAATACACCAGCAGTAGCACTGGCAGCTCTCCCTCCTCCTTAGAGGGTGGGATGTAGAGTCATCACCCTCCTCCCCTGTCAGGCCAGCCTGTTTCCTCTCACCAGGCAAAGACTTCCAGAATGGGAAATTAATTTGGGAATACCCAGCTGCTGCAAGGCTGGATGTGTCAGGGAAAGGAATTCTGGAATACCCACCTTACGTGAGGCATGCTGCATTTGCAAACAGTGTGCAGGTTACATACCCTCCATCACAGAGAAAGAGGAGGGTTTCCACAGCAACAACCAGCGCCAGCCACCCACCTAAGATTTAGTGGTTTCAGTTGTGTGAAGGAATCTCCTTTGTTTCAAAACCTGTTCGATACAAAGGAGCTCTTTAGTCACCCAGCAGAGGATTAACATGAGGAATAAGGCCTCTGAAATGGCAAACACATATAGGGCTCCTGCTGCTTCACTATTTCAACCAAGCAATGAAGTCTTGCTCTGTGCCCCACAATCTCTGCTCTCCAAAACCAGTAATGGCAGCTTCTTCCTTGTTAGAGGAACCCTGCTGATTTGGGTGTTCAGGAATTTGAGCTTTACTTGCTCCTTTGCACCGGGTGCCTGCAGTGAGAGTATCAGACCTGATGCAGCTATGAATAAACCAAGAGACAAAGTTAACTTCTTTAAAATGTTTATTTTCTTGGCCTGAGAGCACACAGGCCACAAGACCCTTGCAGACATTAAGCTGTTTCCTCTTTAGCAATGCGATCTTTCTTGAGTGGTCCCTAAAAAAAAAGAGAATAAACTATGTAAACAGCAGCTTACACCAAAGAGCACATCACACCCCAATCACAACCCTGCCATTTCTTCTCCCCTTGCTGCAAAGCAAATTAAGGCAAAAAAAAAAACCTTCAATGTTGCAGGCCGTTGGAAATCGCAAGCCCCATCCCCACAGTTACAGGTTTCAGGGTAAAACTGAACACAGCAGAGCCACAGTGCACCATATCCACGACTCTACATGGAGCAGAGACTCTACACATGGCTGGTGCCACCTTGTGGGGAAGAGCGTGTGCAGCCCCCCAGGCACCTGAACCATGCCCTGACCCAGCAAGGGCCTCACACCCAGGACTCCAGACCGGCCTTCTCCAGCAAGCGACAATGAGACCACAACCCAGAGCCCACTGTGAGCACCATCCAGAGCTGCTCTCAGAAGAAATGCAGTGCAGACGGACTTCCCACTTGTGTCAGACAGTGTTCAGTGCTTATTCCACACCTCATCACTGGATGACTTGTACTCAAACAAGGCAACATCCCTCAGGAACCAAGTACTGCCTTAGGGGAAGCGAGACCCCAATCCAGCCTGTGGTCATAACCAAGTTGGAGGCTGAACCTTCTTCACTGAAGCTACACACTTCATTTCACAGGAATCCCAGACCTGTGGCAGCCCAAGGGTCAGGCTACCAACTGCTATTACCTGACAAGGCAATACACAGTACAAAGCTGCCCAGCTTCAGGAAATGTCCTTACCATGAAAGCCTTCTTCTCCTCAGCTGTCTGGAAGCGGCCATGGCCAAATTTGGAGGTTGTGTCAATGAACTTCAAGTCAATCTTCTCCAGGGCCCGGCGCTTGGTCTGCACAAGCAGGGACTGCGAGAGACACCACGTGAGTGAATACACAGCAGCACCCTTTCAGCCTGCCAGTATGCTGACTGCTTCTGATCACCTCCATGGCTAACACCCTCCCCTAAGTCACTCTGACCTCATGCTTTTGCTGCTATGATGTGCAAGGAGCACTTGCCAGTAAGCTAGCTGACATCTTTGGCTTTCAAGAGTGAAGACTGGTGAGGTCACACCAGCAGGTGAGCCCAAGTCCGCCCATCAGTGTCCTTATGGTCCACAAGAATTCTCAACCCTAAAGCATGCCTTTACCTGCAAACAGCCCTGCACTGAATGAACTCCAGAAAGGATCTCACACTACTGTGGAGGTCACTAATACGAGGTGTGTCTGGATGCATGAGGCTTTTCTTTTTAGCTGGCTATAGAGTCCCCTTGGCAGCAACAACTACCTGTACCAAAGGCAGCACAGCTACCTTAAGCTGCACCAGCCCATCTGACAGCAAGTCACACTACTCACCTTGCGCAGGGTTAGGACTCTCTTCTTGGTCCCAACAACACAGCCTTTCAGCATGATGAAGTCATTGGTCACCTCCCCATAGTGGACAAAGCCTCCCTGAACAAGGAGAGAGCAAGTTAGTGCTTTGTATGAAGCAGGAGCAATGATCACATCTGCCTACAGCTTGATGCTCTCACTTCACCTTCTGGGTCTCAACCACTCCCACATTCACTAAAATCCCATTTCCAGTATTACCTTTTGCTGGTCAAATTCTTTGATACAGGAATTTAGCTGTATCAAGGTTAAAAAGGCAAATGCCTTACAGCAGCAACAAGAGGCAGCTAACAAAACAAAAGCACAGGCTGCTCTCCCTGCTAAGTTAATCCTTATTTACAAGTACCACCTACAGTAGAGGTTTGTAACATCTCTCTCTACTACTGCCACATATCAAACAAAATTAGCAAGTTACACAAGTCCATACTGAGAATGACTAAGCAACACTGCCTCCCACAACTGCCAAGCTGTATCTCAAAAGCTCTTCATTCAATCATTTTGCAGCTTACACCAGGCCCATTTGCCTTATAAGATGGCAGCTCATAAGCAAACTCTCCAGAGTTCAGCAACTCACCAGAGGGTTAATGCTCTTGTCAGACAGGTCATAATCAGTTGAAGCATTGTTTTTGATCAGCTTTCCATCCTTGATTTGGTAACCCTGGCCAATCTTGTAGATCTAAAAATGACAACAATTTCTACTTACTAAAAGACAGGAGAAAGGACCTGTCATCAGCCAAAGCACAAATTGTTCTACACAGGGTTGGAGAAAAATGTCTACTGCACTTAGAAAACACGTGGCTGTGAGAGAATTTGATGGTTATTCAACATTACTGCCCTGAGATTACATTCAAACAGAGCTAAACATCCAAAGCAAAACTCTATTCACTGTCATGCAGCATGTGAGCCCAGCCAGCTCACGTTCCTTCCCAGCAGGTCAGAGAAACAAACCTTCTTATTGATTTCAGTCCGATGGTGATAGCCCTTCTGACCAGCCCGGGCCACCGAGAAAGCCACACGAGCAGGGTGCCATGCGCCAATGCAGGCCACTTTGCGCAGACCCCTGTGAGTCTTGCGGGGCAACTTTTTGGTGTGCCAGCGGCTGGTAACACCTGGAAGAAACCAAAGCAGCACTGTCACTAACTACTGTCAAACAGAGATTCATCAAATTGTTCAACTGGAGTTTAAGCCATCTTTCAAGCTGCTGCCCTAGGCCACAAAGCAAAGCCCAGACCCACATCCCAAGAATTCACTCAGTTTCCCTGTGAAGCACCCTGCCCCTCAACTGTCCACAGCCCGTCCCCCCAGCTGTCCCTTGGTTGTGTTCTCAGAAGGAAGGCAGCATGGAATGACTCCTCACGGATGTCAGGCGCCGTGCCCAGCGCTCATTCCATGGTCTCATCATTGAACCATGACAGCAGGATGGATTCACCCCCTCAGCTCTTCATCTACACACTTCTGAAAACTCAAAACTGTATCCAATCACAAACAGGAGAACTTCTATGTGTTTACCTTTATATCCCTTGCCCTTGGTGACTCCAATGACATCAATCATCTCATCCTGGCCAAAGACAGTTGACACAGGCACCTGCTGTTCCAGCTTCTCCCGGGCCCAATCCACTTTCTCAGCAACTGTGCCACCATTCACCTGGATCTCCATCAAGTGAGACTTCTTTTGTCTCAGGGGAAGCAAACGCATCTAGGAAACAAGAAGAACGAAATTTAGCTCCTGTTCCTCCAAGAAAGACCTTTAACAGCTCAGTATCCTCCTAGCCCTGGCTGAATCTGTTCAACTAAATATATCCTTTCCCAAGATGAACTTTAACATATTGAAGTAAAAGGCCCTACACCAGGTAGAAAGGCTCTAGGCTCTACTGTAGCTGAAATGGCAAGACACATTATCTGGAAATTATATGCCACCCACAGGAACACAGAACTCTATCCCACAGCCACCAACCAAACTCCATCCAGGAAGAACAGGAGATAATGAGGGGAACAGTTTTAGACTTAAAAAGGAGAGATTTAGATTGGGCACAAATAAGGAACGGTTTATGACTGATGGTGGTGAGACACTGGAACAGGCTGCTCGGAAAAGCTGTGGACAGACCCATCCCTGGCAGTGTTGAAAGCCAGGTTGGATAAGGCTTTGAGCAAGCTCATCCAGTGGAAGGTGTCCCAGCTCAGTGCAGGGGGGTGGCACTACATGATCTTTAAATGTTCCTTCCAACCTAAACCACTCTACAATTCTTTGTACATTCTGCCACACTGAAGGACACTTTGGGTAGGGTCACATTTAGTTCTATATTTAGCAGAGGGGGACTGATACAACTATTAACAGCAGCTGCAATGCTACCTTTGCTATTTGGCATGCAGGACAGGTAAGAAGCTCCTACCAGGGTTCAGTCTCTTTTGGACACTCTTCAAGCACCCTGCGAGCGCACACTTGGCACAGGGTGAAGAGTACTAGTATCTGAATTGTGCATAATAGTTAGCACCAGGCTGCAGGAGAGGGCAGCAATATCCCTGCAGAGATGGAGTAAGTTTTATGCTTGCTCCCTTGGCTGTTTCCAGTGTACATCTGAGTCCCACAGACACTTACCTGAGTGTGAGCCATGACTCTAATAACTTGGCAGTATTTCTTCATGCTATTGAAATCTTTCTCCAACTGCTTTTTGCCTTCCTCATCTTGCCATTTCTTGCAGTATTTGGTGAAGGCCTTCTTCTTGGACTTGTGCCTTCAGGAGCAGAGCAGAGACAAGGTTGGCTAAGCCCTTCATCGATCCCCAGGGAAGTGGGGATGAGCGGAAGGAGCTGCCACCTCGGCTGGTTTTGGCTCATTGCCAGCTTCTAAGGACTCTTTTCCACTGGCAAGCGGAGCCTGGAGCTCATCAGACAGTGGCAAAGTTGCCAGAGCTGAGCGGAGCTGCCATGAATTCCAAAGCACATAACATTCACAGTACAGAAGACAAAAGACTGTAGAGAGATGTCAAACAGTAACAGAAAAAAAAACAGATCTTTAAAGCAATTGTCAAGTTGATGCTATCTGCTGCAGAATACCATAATCTCCTCCCCCCTTGTAAGCCCAAGCTATGCCCAACAGTAAAGTCATTACTGTAACACCCCTGAGATCATTATTGCTCTACTCTGACGTCTTTTCAGCCTGCAAAGTTCATAAACAGGCTGTAAGCTCTAGACACGCTGAAGCCACACTTGGGCAAATGTGCATACTTTGAATCACAACAGCAGTGCCTGGAACAGTAATCAGAAGTAACACTTGTCTTCCCCTTTCCTGAGAAAACAGGGCTACAGTCAGGACTCGACACTCAACAACAAGCACCAGAGGCGATTTCCTTATGTCCGCCCGTCGAAGTATCATCATGTGTAGCCTGTGAAAGGAGATCTCAGGCAAGAACCAACACTGTCACCCCCATGCCAAGAAGGGTGCTAACACTGTGCTGCCACCCTCACAAAGCCATTTCTACAGCCTATCCCATTATTAGGCCAGTTCACCAAAGCCAAACACTAACTGCTGAAGAGCCTCTTCAAAACACTGTACTAACATTATCTTCAGCCCAGTAAAAGAAATAAACCATGTCATGAGATTAAGGTCATAAGCAAAAGCCCTGCTTCCTTACCAGTTCTTGTAGAAGCGACGCTTACACTCATCGCTGATGTGCTCAGCAAAGATGGTCTTGAAGCTACGGAGACCACGAGGAGTCTGCACATATCCCACAATGCCCACAATGACCATGGGAGGAGTCTCTACTATAGTGACTGCCTCAACCACCTCTTTCTTGTTCACCTCTGGATGAAGGCAGAAATTCGGCACAATTAACACCAGCATCAGCTATTGAAGCCCACCAAAGTCAAAATGGATGGCAGTAATAAAACCACTTTCAGGACTGCACAATCAGGAAAAGAATTCCAAAAGCAATTTACTTATGCCTGCTCATCAAGAAGTCATCCTAAGTAGCCCCTTACAGTACACTAAACTAAACCATCAGGTCACTGTGCAGCTTAGAAACAGGACCATTAACAAGACAGACACTGCTAGACATGAGGTGAGGCTGCTGCAACACCACTCATATTGAGGGGGAAGGGTTTGGGTGCTTTATTGAGGGGGAA